ATTATCCCCACACACACACACACACACACACACATCGTCCATTTCTAATATAAATGTGTGTTTGTGCAAGACTAGAGAGCTGGCACTAACTCCATGGTGACCAGGGAAGCATAAATAAGCCACCTGTCTAAAAGCTTTGCAGAGCTGGTAACTGAGCATACGCTTTAAAGCCAGTCTGTGTGGACTCGCACATGTATAGATTTTTACAGAAAATGACAGCAAATTGTATTATGTTATTGTTATATTATACATAATTCTACTATTATTTACTGTGCTTGTTGCTGTTTTCCATGTGATTATAATAAATGGCAAGTGAAGTTTTCAAGCTCTTAAAATTGTGCTAAAGCACCATAAAATCATCATAAAAGTGTGCACTATACCTGTGCACTATATTCCGAGTGTTCTAAAGCTTTGTGTGACCGTTTCTTTTTAATGAAAACATTTCCTCTTCAGCTGTAAAATTATATTTTAAAATCAAAGAACTGGATCATTTTGATTCCTTAGCAAAACATAGGAACACAGTCCACAATTCAACTTTGGCACAGAAACTGATCAAATTCTGCTTGCAACAGCTTGACTTGTTAAACTATGGTACTTTGAAATACCATGGTACATGAATATTGTTCACGGTATTACCGTATGGTACCACCAGTACTTTGTTTGCAACAAAATTACATATCAGCATTTTGGTCACTCTCTCTCTTACACACACACACACCTCTGACAGACAGACCTGCGCGCAACACACACACACACACACACACACACACACACACACACACACATCGTCCATTTCTAATATAAATGTGTGTTTGTGCAAGACTAGAGAGCTGGCACTAACTCCATGGTGACCAGGGAAGCATAAATAAGCCACCTGTCTAAAAGCATTGCAGGGCTGGTGACTGAACGCATGCTCTAAAGCCAGTCTGTTTGGATTTTCAAATGAAATTAGAGCAAGGGACAGTTCATCTAAAAATTAAATCTCTGTTATTTACTCATCTTCATGTCCCAAACCCGTATTACTCCATTTGTTCTTGGAACATACAAGAAGGTATTTTGAAGACTGTGCTGATTGCTGTTTTCCATGTGATTATAATAAATGGCAAGTGAAGTTTTCAAGCTCTTAAAATTGTGCTAAAGCACCATAAAATCATCATAAAAGTGTGCACTATACCTGTGCACTATATTCCGAGTGTTCTAAAGCTTTGTGTGACCGTTTCTTTTTAATGAAAACATTTCCTCTTCAGCTGTAAAATTATATTGTAAAATCAAAGAACTGGATCATTTTGATTCCTTAGCAAATCATTCAGACTGGTTTTGTGAACGGGAAAAACTCATTGCAAGGATCCAATTCAAAACAATGATTTGTTCATGAATAGGACATTGCATTTATGAACTCATAAACTTGGTATGTTGTCTTCAGAAGAATTAGAATACAGGGTCAAGTTCTATCATTTTTATGATAATTTTATTGTACTCTGTTGTCACTTTGTAGCTTAACAGCCTTTTTTGTTTTCATTAAAGTGGACATAACACGCACAGTTTTGCTCAATCTCATGAGAATCTTGAGTACCTAGTATTGCATCCTTCATATCTCCAAAGAGTCTTTAGTTTGATCATATTTATAATAGAAAGATACAGCTTAACGATGTTTCCCTCGCACCCATTATCCACACACACACACACACACACACACACATCGTCCATTTCTAATATAAATGTGTGTTTGTGCAAGACTAGAGAGCTGGCACTAACTCCATGGTGACCAGGGAAGCATAAATAAGCCACCTGTCTTAAAGCATTGCAGGGCTGGTGACTGAACGCATGCTCTAAAGCCAGTCTGTTTGGATTTTCAAATGAAATTAGAGCAAGGGACAGTTCATCTAAAAATTAAATCTCTGTTATTTACTCATCTTCATGTCCCAAACCCGTATTACTCCATTTGTTCTTGGAACATACAAGAAGGTATTTTGAAGACTGTGCTGATTGCTGTTTTCCATGTGATTATAATAAATGGCAAGTGAAGTTTTCAAGCTCTTAAAATTGTGCTAAAGCACCATAAAATCATCATAAAAGTGTGCACTATACCTGTGCACTATATTCCGAGTGTTCTAAAGCTTTGTGTGACCGTTTCTTTTTAATGAAAACATTTCCTCTTCAGCTGTAAAATTATATTGTAAAATCAAAGAACTGGATCATTTTGATTCCTTAGCAAATCATTCAGACTGGTTTTGTGAACGGGAAAAACTCATTGCAAGGATCCAATTCAAAACAATGATTTGTTCATGAATAGGACATTGCATTTATGAACGACATTTCAAAGGGGTTTGAATAAATGCTTGATATCTTACTGAGAACCTGTGAAACCCCATGGGCATAAAGGTAGATCAAGAGAATGGTTGTTTTTTCACATTTTTGCACATCATTAAAAAAAAAAAAAGTTACATTTTTGCAACATATCAATTTTTGTTGTTGTTGTGGCTTCCTGTGCTTTTAAATCTCACATAAGTCAGATGGGGCAGTTTTTCATAAGACAAGACTCCATTAAAAGCAAAATTCTGCATTTATACTGATCCTGTTGAGAGCCAGCTGGGTTTTGGGATGTTCTGGCCTGTTTTGCCTGACTCCCTTGTCTTGAACCTAAAATGTTTGCGAGAAGGCAGCCAGAGTGTCTGATAAGATGGACGGAGTGTCATTGAGGAATGTGCAATGATACGGCATGGACACTGTGACAGCGTTGTCTGTATATCAGCTTGAGCATTTTAGAAAACAAGTGGCCACATTACATGCACTAATAGGACATGCATGGCTATCAGACGCCAGGATGAGTTATGAGGACAGTCTTCATTAGAAGTTTTTTTTGGGAATGAAGAGCTGGGACAGAGGCCTTATATGTGAAAATTGCAACCACTTCTAGGAATCAGAGATGGACATAAAGTTACAGTTCAGCAAATAAAAACAAAAAACGTTTGTCATCATTTACTCATCCTCGTGATGTTCCAAATCCGAATGATTTTTTTGTCATATTACATATTAGGCAAGATGTTCATGATTCTCTTTTCCATATAATGATAGTAAACAGTAACCAGGAGCAAAAAGTAACTAAAAACAGTAAATGAGTACATGATGAACATTCATTTTTCTGAGAATTTTTCCTTTAACTAGGACTGAGTATGTGAGGAGTAAGGGAGTAAAAAGAAACTTTGTAGAGCTGGTTCTCACTGACTTGTACACAGCTGATAAACCAGTAGAAGACTGATAAAATGGTAACATCCATTAATGTATCAATCTGCACAGTTGTAAATAAACTGTGCTTTGACCTTGGAATTCTTGAAGGGCCAGAATACTTGTTGCCAAAACTCATTAGCTTATAAACTGTAGCTAGTATTGGCTTGTAGTTATGGAGCAATCCTTAGAAACATTACATCCTGTTAAGCACAAGTCAGCCCATTCTGATCCAATAATTACAAATGAATGAAATAACCACTGTATGATTATAACTGAACATTGCAGGCCAGAAAATTTAAAATACAACACATTACAATAATTATTAGGTGTGTGGCCTAACAGTAATAATAATCCCTAGGGGTGTCAGTGTTTCCCCTGCCGGCTACTTAAAAGATAGATTAAATGAATGTTTTATGCCTTAAAAAATGTAAATACACAACACAGAATTTCTGAGCAAAAAATCATAAGGCTATTGTAAGAATAAATGATACTTGTTTTTATGCTTTCAAATAATTAGACATGCTAAAACAGAATTTGGTAACAATAAAACATAAGGTTGGAAAAAAATAAAACATTTCATAGGGCCCTAAACATGTAATATTTGTTAAACTTTTAATAAATTGATGTTAAATTGTTTAAGTTTCATGATTTTAATTAATTAGACATGCTTTTTGATTAATACAATTTAATTTAACCATTAAAAAGGAGTCCATAAAAATACAAATAAAAACCTGAAGAATTTATTTGCATGCTCTGTCAGTGTTGTTTTAGTGCCTGAATCACTAAATTATGCAAATCAGGAGCTGACGAGCAAACGGCCAAAATGAATGCTGAATGCAATTTTGGAATATAGTGTACATTATTTGGGCTACTTTTATGCCTTTTGTTCTTTTGTCATTTTAGGTACTAGACAGCTCCTGGTCACAGTTCACATTTATTGTATGGAAAAGAACATTCCGCAAAAAAGAACATTCTTCTTTGTGTATTCCACAGAAGAAAAAGTCATACAGGCTTGGAACGACCATAGAGTGAGTTGATATTGACATATTTTTGCAATTTTTTACTATACCTTTAACTAGGGCTGGGTAAATGAGGTAATAATAGTGCAAACATAGCTGAAAAGTTTAACCAGGTAACTAGCATTGCATTTACTGAATAAGATATTCTCAATAACTTTAATATTTTCCTGGAAGACATATTTGAGTTAAAATAATGGAAATTACTTTATTTACATAATGTACACTGTACTGTTTCTGCACATTTAGTACATAAGACCCAGGTTTTTATGCTCAAATACTGCTAAAGTGGTGATATTCACCCCTTTATATCTCAACTTTAACGTCAAAACTGGCAAACGTTAGCGTGTCTTATCACCTGTTCACTTCAACCTTTAGCAGACAGTCTGAGCATGAAGAGTTTGGACAGGACATGATTACACTCCCGCAAACCTATGATAATTGATTGCTGAGAAGCCCTAGCACGGCATAGTCCATCCAAACCTCAGATGGATTGCCCTACTTCACCATGTTATATAACATTCTGCAGCCCATTAGCACTGAATCAGTGTTCACTTCCACCATCAGGTTGATAGTACAAAGCAATCCAGGAGTAAGAACTTTGTTTTGTTAACCCATGAGGAATAAGTGTCAGGAGGCCACCGAAAGGGTTAAAGCATGGACCGCCGCTCCAATCAGAGTAAATGATTAGAGTAGAAACAACTGCAGAAATGAGGGAGCATGCAGGGGCTGTGCTGTGGGGGGATTTGTAGAGGAGAGCGAGAGAGGGAGTGAGAGCGAAGGAGAGAGAGAATGCCACTGTGCTTAAATCCAGCTGGCTGCCTCCCTGGGAATGTAATCCATATGTGAGCGCGAGTTCAGCTGCAGGAAAAAGAAAAGATATTACCCGCAAAGAAGCGATTGTTTCTGCTTTTCTTGTTTAAATTCCACTCATTCTGGCCCCTGGACCCTGGCTCTGGTTCAACAGTCGACACAAAAAGAGAGGTATAGCGTGGAGAAGGACAAAGTGAGAGTTGAGAGAAAGTTGGAGAGGATAAAAACGAAGGCGAAAGGAGCAGTAGAGAACAATATACCGATTAGGGATCCGATAGAAGAATGAAAGAGGACACGCCGGAGAAAGGCGTAGTGAGGTAGGTCATCTAAAGTTTTGGTTTTGTTTTCTATTTAATGCCAGTGGTGCAGAGGTTGTACTTTGTGCTAGGCTGTTTGGACAATGTCTGGTTTGGAAGCAAGAGTGAGACCATGTGTTTGTGTATGTGTGTGGATAGATGAAAAATGGGGGCATGGGGCTTCTGCAGGATCCAGAAGCCTGGAATATAGGACCACAACAAATATCTTACGATTTTACAGCGTGAGGGTTAGGGTTGCAAAGGGGTGGAAAATTTCCGGTAAATTTCAGGAAACTTTCCAAAAAATCCCTGGAATATTAAAAGAAAATCCTGGAACGTTTCCAAAATTTCTGGAATGTTTCAGAAATTTACTGGAAATTTTCCACCTTTTTGCAACCCTAGTGAGGGTACATGGTATTTACTTTAAAGCTCAAGTGAAGTTTGGGCTTTACTTCCAAGACTTCCTTTACATTTCATTCATGCATAAACTTAGCATTGGTCTCTTTTGATGTTATCGGATAAACAGTTGGATTCTGAATGTGTCCCATACCAGTATAGTATATTTGCTCAGTGCTTTGTGTTTTTGTATGTTAGCTGAAGCGTTTTATCCTTGAATAGCTTTCTTTAAATAGCTTTTCTTTTACTGTGATCACCTGAGATTATTTTTGTTGCATGGACACTCCCTTCAGTAGTCCCTGCTGGAAAATCCAGTTTAAGCTGGTTGCTATGTTTTGAAATGGGGTAATTGAAATGGGGTCATTAGCTGGTCAAAATAGTCATTAGCTGATAGACCATCTTGGACCAGGAACAGACCAGCTCATCACCTTAGGCTGATGATACACAGGGCAACTTTTTGAGCAATGATGCAGGGCAACTTTGTTTAATGTTGCCGTTAACGGGCAACCAGGTGAGAGACAGGGCCCACGATTGATCTAAAGTATCCAGATACAAATTTGTTACCCATTTTTTTCATACCCAAAATTGCTCATCAGCCTTAAGGTGTCTTGGTGGCTGGTCGACCAGCCTAAACCAACTAATAACCAGCCTGGACCAGCTAACATGCTTTAAAACACAAGTACCAGCTTAAGTTGTGTCTTCTTGAACCTGGTGGAAGAAGTTGCACACTCACAATGAGTTTCTATTGTTTGATACTAAGAAGGTTATCAGGTTTAAGAGCCCCCACCTATCCCTAACCCTTCACCTGCTTGTAAAACATTATCAATAATGGCTCACTTCTATGTTTAGTGGAAATGGAGATTTTCCTCATTGTTCCCAGATGGGGAAATTGTGGAAAGGGAGAGTTTTGCAGACGTGAACAAGAACCTCCAAGTCCTGATTACTCTTGGGAAACACAGGGCAGGCCGAGGTGTGGACTGGAAGAATTTTCCTCACTTAAACACAGTAAAGTTAAAAGCGTGAAAGTGCTGTCAGGCAAGAGCAACAACTTGCAGTTTAGAGCAATAATTCTAGTGGTGCAGAAATAAAGCCTAGTAAAGACTCTGTGTTTCTAAACAGTCTGTGTGTCATGCAGGACATTTTGTCTCCGACTTGAGAAGAACCCCAGAAATTAAAGACTGGAGAGGTTCAGAATGCTCTACTAGGAGTGACCAATCCTGTTCCTAGAGGGTCAATGTCTTGCAGAGTTTAGCTGCAATCTGCCCAAAACACACTTGCCTAGAAGATTCTAGTAATCCTGAAGACCTTGATTTGCTGACTCAGGTGTGTTTGATTAGGATTGGAGCTAAACTCTGCAGGATTGTGGCCCTGCAGGAATAGGATTGGACATCCCTGTGCTATACTTTTGTTTGTCCTATCATGCCAAAAGAGGAATGCATCCCTTGACTACACAGGTGGCCAGTTCTCTTACACCTAAGTAAAGGTGTGCTGACAGTGTTTGTAAGGGTGGAAAGACCAGCATTCCCTGAAGCTCAGTGGTCAGCAAGACTTAAGAGGTATTGTTGGGAATTTGTTTTGATTTAAAATGGTCTAGTGTTAGCACAAGACATCCTATTTGTTGTAAGATTGCAGCAAACCCTTACCCAAGAGGACATATGCAAGGGAAAAAAGTGTGTTTTGCCCACTGGAGGTGGTATTATGCTCAGGAATGTTCTGGGAACGCCCCTCTCCAGCTGGTGTGAGTGTGTGCAAGAGACTACGTCTCAGAAAAAAAAGAAAAATTCAAGTGGTTTGAAATGCTGCTTGAGGCTTCAGGAGTGTCAGGAATATATCGTTTCAATGTATCGTACTTGTCTAAATGCCATCACCCACAAGGTGCGTAACACATATTGCAGTCTTATCAACATATATCATGTGAAATGTGGACATGCCGTCCTTAACCAGTATAAAACAAAAAGTAATGCCTGTTTGAGTCCAGGTGTGTCATCATCTCTCATGTTCCACTGCAGTCTTACTATAGTGGGTTATCTAGGAGTGGCATCTGCTGTCTTTGTTGTATTGTAGCTTGGCCTAGTTCTTCTCTGACCTGACACAGGAACAGATGCACAAATAGGACTTCTGCTGTATGGCCCAAGACCAATCTGATTGGCTTGCGAGTGATCTAGGTTGCAATGTCACTTGCCTGTGGAGCAGTTTGACCTTTTCCAGCTTTCCTAGTTGAGTTCTAAGTCCCTTCTACTGTGTAATGACATGACAGTACTGATCTCAAATCTGCATGAAATCATAAATTTATCAATTTAAAGTTGTCCCCTTTAAAACACTGCTGCTACAGCCATGCACTAACAGACTGACATCTTTAGCCATTTTGTTGCTTCTCATTCTGTTTTCTGACCATGCCACAATGAACATTGTGTTTTTAAAGGGGTCATAAACTGCCTTTGGTTTTTATTTTTTTTTATTTTATACTGTTCTCTGATGTCCACTTATAATGTTATCAAGATTTTTACTTAAATAAAGCAATCATTTAGAAGTAATAGGCTATTTTCTGTCCTGTTTTTAACCCCTCTCATCAGAACGCTGCGTTTGAATAGACGTGGTGGATTGTAGACTCGGAAGTAAACACCCACAGCTATGATTGGCTGACAGTTGGGCATGTTTTACATCCTTCGTAGATGGATGCTGCTGTGATTTAGGTTAAAAATGCATAAATACTCGGTACATATTAAACGATCTGTAATAACAGACAAAGCAATAGTGAGCACGAAATGAAAACAGTTACTCACTTATGTGGTGCGACATCGTTATCCAATCAGCACAGCACCGTCTTTTAGTTTCAGTCTTTCTGAAAACCCCGCATCAAATTGTGCCTTGTTTGTAAATGAATCCACAGTAAAATGAAGTGAACAAAGGACCAAGTTCTTACTGACGTGGTCTGGCGCTTCATTAAAAATAAAGTTCATCAAATGAAGTTTATCATTAGACCTGCATTTGCCGCTCTCGTCATTTACCTACTACGTTCGCGAATTGTTGGGCGGGGCTAAACAGGCAGTGATGTAGAAGCAGGTGTTGATGATCTTCTGCGGAGGCGGTGTTTAGCCACACTGTTATGTAAACGATCTGTAATAACAGACAAAGCAATAGTGAGCACGAAATGAAAACAGTTACTCACTTATGTGGTGCGACATCGTTATCCAATCAGCACAGCACCGTCTTTTAGTTTCAGTCTTTCTGAAAACCCCGCATCAAATTGTGCCTTGTTTGTAAATGAATCCACAGTAAAATGAAGTGAACAAAGGACCAAGTTCTTACTGACGTGGTCTGGCGCTTCATTAAAAATAAAGTTCATCAAATGAAGTTTATCATTAGACCTGCATTTGCCGCTCTCGTCATTTACCTACTACGTTCGCGAATTGTTGGGCGGGGCTAAACAGGCAGTGATGTAGAAGCAGGTGTTGATGATCTTCTGCGGAGGCGGTGTTTAGCCACACTGTTATGTCATAACGTGGCACATTCCAAAACCTGTCGTTTTGGCAGATTGGCTTCAATATAAGCTGTTTTTAGACTAACAAGACAGTTTTGAGTTCTGAAACTTATAGAATGTTTTTATAGCACAATGACCTTCATGACCCCTTTAAGATGGAATCTTTAATCTTTTGTAAATGTCCCCTGAGAAAGTTGTCTGTTCAGGGTAAGGTGAACCTGAAACCAGCCTAATTATACAGGGATTCCTTAGGTGACTAGTCATTCAGGCAGCCCACCAACTAGTTGTTTGTGCACAACTTGAATTGAGTTTTCATTACAGGTTTCCTCAAAGAAGCAACTTCAACTCTGTCATATTTGTGACCCTGGACCATCAAAAAATTTACCCTTATGTCTGGTTTTGTGGTCCAGGGTCACATTTCACGCAGATCCCATCAGACTCCCTCTGATAGTTGAGTGAATTCTTGTTTTGTCAACATTTGATTTGTGCTATACACCGGGAGCATGTTAATTACTTAACACTGCATCCAGAATTGCACGTAATTGAATGAAAAAGTTTGTTCAAACTAAAAATACATCTATATGTGTTAATTTCATGCTTTTGGAATGGAAACTTAATTAGCACTTGTTTCCAGAATTAGCTCAGTTTGATATAGATGTCATCACCAAGGGAACATTAGTTTTGAACATTAGTGTGTAAATAGAATCGGGTGCTACGTTTCTGCAAATCACTTACCACACTCTAACTTTCATACTAAAATGTACCATGGTAACTATAGTTTCTCTCAGAATCTTGTAGTTATCGCAGTTGCTGTTAATTCATTTAAACTGTGTTAACTTGTTATTATTAGCCACTACTGTCTTAAAATGAAGGTATCAGAAAGCTTTGTACATCGTTTGAAGGAAATTACATTTTAATGCATTACAGTTCCACAGTAGTAAGTGAGTGAGTGACGTGACATGTGGCCAAGTATGGTGACCCATACTCGGAATTAGTGCTCTGCATTTATCCCATCCAAAGTGCACACACACAGCAGTGAACACACACACACACCGTGAACACACACCCGGAGCAGTGGGCAACCATTAATGCTGCGGCGCCCGGGGAGCTGTTGGGGGTTCGGTGCCTTGCTCAAGGGCACCTC